GGATGCCGGCTTTCGAATGAGCTTCCTTTCGTCTGCATGCAAAAACTACACTCTGTAAAAATGACTACTTAATTAGCATGAATTTTTCTCATTGATTTTTTATGCTCCCAAAAGTCCAATCATATTTCATGGAAAACATGCATAAAATATCCATTCTTCTTTTCATCCGGTAGTCAATTCGTCTTTTTCTAATTTTATACTCGAAGGAGGGACGTAATTCGGTTTTAAAAAAGTGTTCTATTTCCCGAATAATTTTGAACCCGCTCTACCGTCACACTTGCATTCAGGGTTCCCAACCTACAAACCGTACATTTTCCGCGCACGGAAAACCACACATTCCTCTATGGTAATAAAGCGGCACCATATAGGGTTCATAAAACTAAGCAGTGGATTTGACCCATATTGTTAACTTTACATGCCACATTGGTAAATGCAGGGATATGACGATTTACGAACGGCCATTTCACGGTATTTAGAAGTTTCACCATTAGAACCTTTTTTTAAAACCGAATTATATCCCTCCTTCGAGCATAAAATTAGAAAAAGACGTAATTATCTACCGAATGAGCAAAAAATGAATATTTTTATGCATGTTTTCCATGAAATATAACTGGATATTTAGGGGCAGCGAAGATCAATGAGAAAAATTCATGCTACTTAAACAGTCATTTTTTACAAACTGTAGTTTTTGTTTGCAGCTGGACGGAAGTTCATTCGAAAGCCGGCATCCTCAGCTAACTTAAATATTATAAAATAATTTTGCAGGCGGGCAAGTTTTACAACCCTACCTTATTAATCTTCCTGAAACCAAAATGCCTTTCGGAATTTCGGTTGACATTTCATGTGTTAGCCCACCTACCGTTGGTTTTATTGGATTTCGATGGCACCGATGACTCTCATCTATATCTTCCTCATATGTAACCGAGGCGTCAAAAATCTTGTCGGTCGTTCGTTAGTGGTTAGTTAATTAATAGTGCCCCAAAACGGGCCATGTGTTAAATGCGCTGGACCAGCGCTGGGGGCCCGTATCGGATTCTGGCAGGCGTTATCGGAACGGACACCATGACAAATGTTAACTTTTCGGGCTGTGCTGGCAGACCCAGTTGCCGCCATACGTCACATACATTTAAACCCCCGACCCCGCCCCCCACCACACTTTTTTGTGCGTTACAATCCTGGTCATTTGTTGTGTGGACCAGGAGATGTGGAGGGGAACACCAAGCTACGGGCTCGACTGTGCCATCCACCTGTGCCCTCCCTCACCTCCGGCCTTCTTGACTCTGTCTTGACAGAGGGAGGAGGAGGAGGAGGAGGAGGAGGAGAAGTAGGACATAGTGCGGTAGATGCGCAGCAAGTCTGCATTCATCACAAACTGAATCCCACGCAAATCACCCTGCCTGCTGTCAGCCTGCTCTGGCACACACGGCGGACATCGTCGACAACGACGGTTAAACTGTTGCAATATCTGGGAGTTTCACTCACCTTTTATCCCCCTCTACAGCTTAAGATCATCGACAAAGAGCGCTCTATCAGGGATCACTTCATGTATTAGGTTATTTACGTGAATAATAAACAGGAGCTACCGAAGAACTAGTTCTCGTGGGATTCCACCTTCAACAGACATCCACTCTCAGTAATCTTTGCCTATGATCAGTTCCGAAGTCTTTATTATCCAGATAAGGAGGTCTCCTCTAATCCCAAAGCCTAATGTCGTTTGGATGAGGTTCTTTTGTGGGACGCAATTAAAAGCCCTGCTGAGATCAAAGTAAGCGACATTCATTGGATGTCCTTTGTTCACTGCCCTTGACCAATGCTCGAGCGATGTATGGGTGTTTGTAGGACAGGATCTCTTATCGTTGGAAGCATGCTGGGCTGAGTTGCTCTGACAGTGGAATGTATTAAGCAATATAATGGATTTTCTAACTATCCTCTCACTAGCTTGGGGCAGGTGCATGCAGTGGTTAGGTAATTAATAACGCTAATGTCGTAGCAGTACCGACAAGGGAGACCTGGATGGCTGTACGGGGGTGTTTGGGTTGCCCAGATGCGCGATACACCATTTGTGTGATTATTCCGCGTTTTACCGATCTGGCACTCAGTTTTCTGTACTCTGCGCGGCAGCCAGACTCGCTAATTGCTCTTGATGACAGAGTATCTTAACGACGGTGTCTGCCTCTCCAACCAGAAATGGCCATTCCAGCCTCCCTTGTCTGTACCCTCTTCCTGCATTTATTTGTGTCTTTGTAGCCTACTTTGCGGAGTAGGGAGAAACCAGTCTCCGCCAGCGGTCTCTCCAGACAAGAGTCCGCCGTTGAGTTGCCTAGACCCCAGCGCATGTGTGCGCCTTTCGCCCCTCATCAGTGTCTGCCAGCCAATCAGAGGAGGGGCAGCGTTGATTGGCCTCGAGCACTCTCGAGACTAGTGACAAGCCTCGCGCGTCCCAGCAGAGAATCGACAGGGAGTGTGGGGCGGACAGGAGGACAGCGTGGTAAGGCAGCGGAGAGCAGGGAGGCGCCGACTACCGCGCGCTGTTTCGCCACTAATTGTCTTACTGCAGTCCTGTCAGTGAAATTGAGAAGAGATAGTGAGAGCTCGGTGCAACGCAGGTCCTCCATACTCGCTCACCTCCACTTTTGTCTTCTGTACAGCCGATCGTGGTCGCTGGATGTTGGGCACGCAATTCATTCAAAACAGACCCCAACACTTTCCACAGTGTATCTGAGGATGGGTGTGAAAGTGAATCCGAAAAGTCTGGAGGAGAAACTTTTATTCCAGTTTCCGAGTCTCCCTCTGCCCAATGTCCTTTCACCATTGAATAGCCCACTGTCCCACGGACCAGAAGTTCGGGTGGCCAGGGGGCTGTTTCGATACGGGGCGGACATGACTGCCTTCTGTGAGGCTCGCCCCACCAAATAATGACAGCCGAACGACACAGGGAGCTGGATGCATCTGCCCTCGCCATTGAAACTGTCATCACCAGAGGGCTGCCCTCTCTTGTTCCCCATGATAATGCTTTTTGCATTTCGCTGAAAGAAATTCGCAACTAGCTCAAGCTCTGACGTCATGAAGGACAAGTTTTGAGGAGATCTGCATCTCCTCTCCATGTCTGTGCCTTACACAAACAGATTCACTAATTTCGGAGACTTCAGAGCCCCAGTACCTAGAAGGGGAAGATGCAACTGCAGTGGCCAGTGACTTCTTAAGACCTATAGCATCTAAGCAGTGAAACTGTATCCGGAGCGCTACAGTCATCAGATCAAAGCTCGAGTTTTGGAAAAGGCAGAAATCACCAAACTGGGGACTTTATTGTACACAGAACCCTCAGTTGCACTCTCAGGTGGCCGTGACCGATGGCGAAACCAGGGCCGTGGTTGACTGCGTCCAGTCATGCCTGAGAGTTAGTGAGATGGTGGTGGTCGCTGCTTTTGTAGGCTCGTGGGCAGGCTCAAATGGTGTCCAATTGATGTATTGCATTTTCTGAGGGGTAGGGTGGGTAAGATCGCAGTTCGTAGCCTGGCATTATGAGTCGAGATTGTTGGCGTTTTTGCTTGTTATCAGTAGGCGTGTTAAATTATATTCCGCTGTTCGCCGGCGCCGGTCGGGTTGGGGTACTACGCATTCGACCTCACCTTCGGGAACGTGGTTTGGCTCTGGTGTTTTTGCCTTACCATTGCCATTGTTTAAATGGCTGATGGCAGAGAGTGGTGTGTTCCAGTGGCGCATGGGCATCTATGACTCTATGGACACAAGAGCGCCCGAATTGAAGTCGGCCGAGTGGCTACAGGTCAGCGCGTCTCGAAGCATTCGCTGCGAAAGTGGATGACCTTGACGCAACTGGGTCCTCGAACAAGGGCGCCAGACATGACTATGCCCGCTGTCGGCAACAGAACTACGGGGATGCCACGTGGATGCCTAAGTCGTGAGTGTACTAAGAACGTCAAGATAACCACGAAATGTCTACTAAGCATTAGACAATGATGAGCTGGCGAGTAATCTGACCGCTGAGACCTAGAGGAAGGCTGCGAAGATTCCATTTCAATTGAAGTTCACTCTAGCTCTAGCGGATAGGAGTGTCAAGGTGTGGGTTCTCTGACATATATAACTGATCAGTTTTTGAGCTTCAGCTCTACTTCGCTCCTCTCAACCCAGTCTTGTAACTGGGGTAGAGTGCGGAAGAAGTCTTTCTTGTTAAGATTCCATAAAGGCAAATGTCGTTTCCCACAGGGAGGCTTATCTTCGCTGGTTCTTGTCGGAAGGGGGGGTGCTGTTGCCTTAAATGACCGAAGAAAAACTTGCAGCCACACTGGCCGAGCAGGATTTCTCATCAAACCAACATGACAGTTCGACCGTCGCATTCGACAATGTCCATCGTGTGTCCGCCAGTAGAGTGAAAGCATGGACGGTGACTTGCACGTGAATTGGTTTATAGTTATATTAGACTTGCAATGCGTCTATCGCACCTGCCCTCTTCCTTCCCCACCTGGGCCCGGTGTCAAGGCGCAGTCAGGAAGACCGGAGTCGCGGGGGGGGAGGAATGAGTGACCTTGACGCAACAGGGTGTTAAATAGGGACGCCGGACATCGTAGTGGGGGCTATCGCCCCCTCCCCCCTAGAACAGGCCACGCAATCGATGCGCTGACCAGCATAGGGGGCTGGGTCGGAATCCGGCCGGCGTTATCGGCAGTGCGCACCTACAATAAATGTCAACATTCAGGATGTCTCAGCAGTCCCATTTGTAGGTTCACGCCGTGTCAGTTGGGACCGGGGCCGCCGTTGTTCTTTAAAATCCCGGTCAAGTGTTTGTTGTGGACCAGGTGGGGTGGTGGCACGCCTAGGTGCGGTCTCACGCCGCGCCAGCCACCTGCGTCCCCTCCCGCCTCCGGTTTTCTTAACTTGGTCATGATGCCGGGACTAGGTGGGGTAGGAGGGGATGGTGCGGCAGATGCTGCGCAAGTTCACAATCACTATTAACTAATTCATGCCTGAGTCAATGTCCCTGCTTCCACCCCGATGTGTAGCACACGGCGGACATCGTCGTAATCGACGATCGACCTGTATTTTCAGACCACATGTAAGGAGTTGCTAATAGCCTAAAGTCTGTTTGAGAAAGACTGATGACGCTCCACTAATTGGAATCAGGCAATATACTTCCTCAATCATCATTGGAAAGAATGCTTTCTTAGGTTTATTTTTTCATTTATTTTTATTTTTTGTAAGCCCATCCAGGTCAGGCCTTACTTTTCTCTCTTCCCCTGAGTGAGACGCGTCGAATAGTTCAAGCTGCCTGCGATTTCAGGTACGTTGTGTGCAGCCACGGTTGATTCAACCGCCGGTTAGTTAGTTCATGCGCAGGTCGGGGAGGCTTTCCACTGCAGCGCTTCAAACAGTTGTCGCATGCTTGCGGTTTTTCAATTGAACGATCGATAAGGACACGCCCCTGGCACGTGGTGGTGGCTGATGAGCCCAAACCAGAAGCAGATCCACAATGTGCCCTCCTCGAGCGAACTACTTCACAGACGCCGGTGGACAACCGAGTTCGAGTTTGGGGGCAAACTCAACGGCGGCGCTGTAGACAACGCCTACTCCAGGACGCAAGCCTCGAAGTTTCCTCGTGAAGGTCCTGTAGGCTTAAGTCACAGCGACTCCTGTATAGTTTCACCCGTCTGCCAGCTGTCCAGTGACACAGGAACCCTTGAGAGGACTGAGGTCGAGTCTAAACAACTCCCGAGGAATACCTTCGGTAACAGTGGTAGCGACCACTTTAGAGATTCGAGTATTTGCCAAAGACAACATAATGTACAGACCTCGCAGAGAAGGGTCCCCAGCTGCCTCCCAGCTGGAAAGCATATCAAAGAGTGGAGTCCGTCTTCCAGTTACCGTCTAGGATATCAAAATGACAACAACCCTCTCCGTGCCTTAGGAGCTCGATGCCTTCTACAGGCCCAAACAGAGAACTCGAACCAGCTCGGAATGAACAGTCGTCAGACGCGGACAATGGAGGAGTTGAAAAGGAGCCTCGAACAGCTGGCGGCCGAGGTCCACAACGACAACCTCCAACTGACAGATCTTCTACAGGTCAAGCTTGCGCCTCCGAAACCCCCACCGGGACCGTCGAAGGAGGACCTGGAGGAGCTGCGAAACAGCATTAAGCAGCTGGCTGGGGAGTTGAAAACTGAGAACCAACAATTGGAGAGTGCTCTGCAGGCCTCGCTGGCCAGTAGGTCTCAAGCTCTGAAGGAAAAAAGTCAGCCGCCGAATGCCACTGACGCGGCTCTCCTTGAGGCCATTGAAGCTCTAAAGACCAGTGTTAGGGCGCTCGCGACAGAGGTCGAGGATGTTACTGGTAAACACGTTCCTGAACAAGCCAGTGCACTGACAAATGCCATATCAGCCATCTCGGCTTCAGCCAAGGGCATGTTCTCCAAGTTCCTCTCCTCCAAATCGCACGCGGATGAGGATTCGAAAAAAGGTGTATTCGCGGAGATAAATGGCGAGGAAGAGGAGAAGAAGAAGGGCATGTTTTCAAAACTCATGTCCTTAAAATCCTCCCCGGCGGAACAGGAGCGCGACTCCTTAAGTTCGCTCACTCCGCCTGCACAGGCTGAACCAGAGCGGTCGTCCAAAGTTCCATCATTAGCATCATCATCAGCAACGACAGCAGCCAAGCCAGCCAGTATTTATGAAAAGGCTAAAAAGAGCATTTTGTCGAGGACCAGTGTTCATCAGACTGCACCACCGGAGACTCCAAGACGCGACACCGCAAAAAGCAGTACTGTCGCAAAGCGTTCGACCCTTTCCTCACGAGGTGGTGCCGAGGGTGTTCCGTCAGTGGAAACCCCGAGACGCAGTACTGGAAAGAACAGTACTATTGTCAGACGTTCGGAGGCTTCCAAAAGTGTGCGAAGTCAGGCAACGCGGAAGTCCAGCAGAAAGACTGCGGCCGCCAAACCCTCGCAGACTGCTGCGTCAGCCTCTGAACCTCCATCTGATGGTCGGGCTTCGGTTATAAGTACTGCCACGCCGGTGGAAAGTGACGAAGACAAGGTGTCGGTGGTCAGTTCGCAGGGTGGCACCGAAATGGATGTCCCAGCTGCTAGGGAATCAAGGGTGTCTGCGGTTTCAGCGGTCTCCTCGGTGTCAGCACAGCAGACACCTCCCGCAGTGCGTGTTAGTGCTCTGCCAACAGATGTTCGCTGCTACGCTCCAGATGGGACTTTAATCCGAGACTCTAGCAAGTGTCCCCATTACGCCAGTGTACCCTACGCACCGAAGATAAAGCAGCCATCGCAGTACTCAAAAGGAGTGTCGGAGGGGGCTGTGGCCAGCGGTGTCGATGAGCCAAGACCATCGCAACAGTCGAGCGGATCAACGCGTTCTGTCCTGCTGCCAAATCTCCTTGAGACAGAAGATCGTCGAATCAGCCAATCCTCGAGATCCACCCTCGAGCTCTCGGGCAGCCAAGCCGAGGACCGGTCGTCCGTTAGATCATCCCTGCTGGGGGAGGGAAGAGGAAGCGGGGAGCAAGCATCGTCTCAGGACTCAACACCCCGGCTACGGAAGAGTGTAAGCTCTCAAGAGCAACAACAGAGTCCTGACAGCAACGCTCCCACTTCCCCTAATGGCTCCAGTGACCGCACGGATCAGTTAACACCATCAATCACCAGATCATTGGTGAGCTCTTCGCTCGCAGACCGTCTAAATCCACTCATTGTAGAGGCCCTGGAAGAGATCAAAACCAGTGTCGCCATAATTGATCGAGAGGCGCACAGGAGGAACACTAAAGTTCCCACGCCCCCGCCACCATCGCCACCGCCACTTCCAGATCCCGTTATCGTCGAAGCCATAGATGAAATCCGCCGGAGCCTCAGGGCTATGCAGAAGGACACCGTAGTCTCGGAGTCCACGGCCTCAGAGTCCTCTGAGGCGGTCAAACTCCTCAAGGACATTAAGGCCAGCCTTCAAAGACTGGCGGAGAATAAGAAAAAGGCCGAGGAGAAAAAGAAGAAGGCGGCTGAAGCAGCAGCAGCAGCAGCCGCTGAGCAGGGCGACCGGACAGGGGGAGGAACTGCCGCGGGTCGCCGAAATTGCTGCTGCTGTTGTTCAGATGGGAGGCGAAGGCCAAATCCTTCGTTCCTCCCTTCTCCACCTCCTCCTCCTCCTCGTCCTCCTCCGTCTCCTCCTCTCTGATGAGTCGAATAGCCTTTTTGACAATGAAGTAGAGGAGAAGGAAAGGCAGGAAGGTGGTGTTAGTGCAGACACAAATGCCTCTACCAGTGTTCGGGGTCCTCTACCACAGGATAGGGAGTCAAATCTGGTGGAACCTTTCAGAGAGCAGCCTGCCCCGTTCTTCAGAAAGCCAGGTGGTCAACAGCCTAGCCCGTCAGATCTGCCAAGTCCCAACACACTTTGTCAGCCCTGTCTTACGATGGGGAATAACGAAGTGCTCGCGAGGATGTGTGCTGTGACTTCGTTTCTTTCTCTCTCTCTATCTTCCCCCATGGGGACCAGGTCCACTGATTTTCTTACTTCTCAAGCGCCCTTTCTATTTTAGTCTTCTGGGACTTACTTTTTTCTTGTTATGTACTTGAATTTTTTTAAGTGAACAAATATTTCTTTTTAAAATGAACCTTCAGCAAGGTGGAGCTGTCTTTTTCAGTCCCACGGTCCTGAGAACATGTCAACGTATACATTGGCTGGCGATTTGATTCCATGAAAGTTTCTAAAAGCACACCTTCTCTATGGATGTGACTTCTTTAATTTAAGCGAGCGCATGTAACATTAGCCAAAATTGCAATCGGACAACGAATACGGAAGCGAAACTACCCGTCTCCAGATTAATCACCATCATCAGCTGTCTCCCTAACATGTACACACCCCGGGCGTGGCCTAGGAGTTTAATTGAGGCCCAACTGGCCGTGCTTTCGTGCATTTAACGTAACACAAGAGTGAGGTTCACCTAGTTTACCTGCTCTCAGGACTGTGTGGCGTCAAGGTACTATCTCGATCTGCAAAAGACTTCTGCGGGCGCGAATCCGATCGCAGAAGAGGATTGTCTTATCATGAGCGTGCGGAGGGGAGGATGGTTCCTGGTTCAAGTAATGCGCCCCGACAAATGTGAGTCAAGGACTGAGATCTCCTAGAGAGGACATTATCAAGCGCTAACCTACTAACCGAGGCCGTCTGCTTGTGTATATATATTGTTAATAGAAGCGAAGATGCGCGTCCTCGGACATAAATGAGAAGAAAAGGCTCCTTCCTCCTTGCCGCTCTGACGTCATATGTAAGAAAATCCCTCTTAACATGACTGTCACCCACCTATAAACACTGTGAGGTGCGATACCACACTCACCTCTGACGATGGAAGCTTGTTTGCTTTTGAAACGTCAGTACATTAAAACTATGGTTCCCGAGATCGCCTTTTCTGTTCATATAAATATAAATATATATGAGATGGAGACGACAAAGACAAGGGAGACCGGAATGACCATTTCTGGCTTATTAGCCGTCATCAGCCAGTCATACCCAACCACAAGTGTGGATTACTTGAGATTCGAACCCGGGATCTTTGTCGGCTCCATCTCATTTATATCTACTACTAGTCCTGTGCGAATGCCTGCGAAGGTTCTAGTATGAGACCCAAGGCACAACGGAACGAGCATGTTCCGTAACCTGATCTGCGAGCACCCACTGTCGTAATTGATATTCCTGATCACAACCGACAGGACAACGGGCCCATGGCTCAATGGTAGAGCGTCAAACTCCATGACCAAAGATCCCGGGTTCAAATCTCAAGTGATCCACACTTGGGGTTAGGTATGACTGGCTGATGACGGCTAATAAGCCAGAAATAGCCATTCCGGTCTCCCTTTTCTTTGTCGGTACCACCTGATTTGCATCATTCTACTAGTCGCTGTGCGACTGCCTGCGAGGGTTCTAGTGTGAGCCCCAAGGCACAACGGAACGAGCATATTCCGTAACCTGATCGGCGAGCGCCCACTGTCATAATAACTATATACATATATATATATATATATATATATATAGTAGAGGCGTTGACTTCTAAACCAACAGGTCGCGAGTTCGAGGCTCGGGTGTTCCACACTTCGGGCTTGGGTATGGCTGGCTGACGACGGCTAATAAGCCAGAAATGGCCATTCCAGTCTCCCTTGTCTTTGTCGGTAATATCATTCTGCCTATATATCATGCGCCGCTATGCGGCTGCTGGTTGGGCTCGAGAGAGAGCCCTTAAGGCACAACGGAACGAGTGAGTTCCGTATGAACGATCGGTGAGCGCCCCCTAACATTATATATATATATATATATATACATACATATATATATATATATCAGAGGGCAGACGACAGAGTCTGGGGGTAGATTGATACAGCACTGTTTCGGGCTTGTTTTCCTTCATTCAGCCAATCATAACCCTGACCACCAGCTGGTACCGGAAACACAAATATGCGCTCAGACGCACCTGGCGCAGCTGTTCCACCACTGGAGTCTACCAGATGGGTCATAAGCACTTCATCGAACCGAAGTTCATCAGTGCCTCGCCACCTGCCATTCTCTGTCACTGCAGATCGGGTATTTATTCACTCAAGAAAGGGCGCACACCGATCCATTGGCTTCCCGAAGTAAAAAAGCTTCGTATGGGCGATATATATATATATGCATGTCAAGTAGGCGTTTGACCCTCACTGTTGTGGTTAGGATCTCACTCGATCCCATTCTGTCCGCCCGCCAGCTAGCTACTGGCGACAACGAACGCTGTGTCATAGGACTCATACAACATATAATACATGAGCAGCTCGCTAAGAGTGCAACAGGCCAGACGCAGACAGCTGTTTCACGGTCGTTACAGATCATCAGTACGTCAGCTGTCTGCGTCTGGCCTGATGCACTCTTATCGAGCTGCTCATGTATTATATATATATATATATGAGGTGGTACCGACAAAGAGAAGGGAGACCGGAATGGCCATTTCTGGCTTATTAGCCGTCATCAGCCAGTCATACCCAACCCCAAGTGTGGATCACTTGAGGTTCGAACCCGGGATCTTTGGTCATGGAGTTTGACACTCTACCATTGAGCCACGGGCCCGTTGTCCTGTCGGCTATGATCGGGAATATTAATTATGATAGTGGGCGCTCACCGATCAGGTTACGGAACATGCTCGTTCAGTTGTGCCTTGGGTCTCATACTAGAACCCTCGCAGGCATTCGCACAGCGACTAGTAGTAGATATAGATGAGATGGTACCGACAAAGACAAGGGAGACCGGAATGGCCATTTCTGGCTTATTAGTCGTCGTCAGCCAGCCATACCCAAGCCCGAAGTGTGGAACACCCGAGCCTCGAACTCGCGACCTGTTGGTTTAGAAGTCCACGCCTCTACCCACCGGGCCACGAGCCCGTTGCCCTGTCGGTTTTCGATCGGGAATATACAGTGGTTGGGGGCGCTTACCGATCGTTCATACGGGTCGCGAGTTCGAGGCTCGTGTGTTCCACACTTCGGGCTTGGGTATGGCTGGCTGACAACGGCTAATATGCCAGAAATGGCCATTCCAGTCTCCCTTGTCTTTGTCGGTAATAACATTCTGCCTTTATATCATGCGCCGCTGTGCGGATGTTGGTTGGGCTCGAGAGAGAGTCCTTAAGGCACAACGGAACGAGTGAGTTCTGTATGAACGATCGGTGAGCGCCCCCTACCAATATATATATATATATATATTTACCACCTGATATATATATATATATGGGATTCTATCTCTTCTGCCAGACCACAACGCCACATGTTGGGTTTTCACCGATGAAATTTCCAGTTACCTCCATAAATTCACACACGAACGCAGTCCTGCTTTGGATGCGAGGCTTATTGAGAGCTACTTGCATCCACCTTCATACGAGTACTGTTTTGTCCTGGTGTCGGTATTTAAAAGTCCCACAATTAGGAACGGCTAAATCGCAGTTGGTAGCCGGGAATGGGGAAGCGGACGGCGATCCTAACCCCAATCCTAACCCCAACTTTAAACATCAACCGTTAAACCTTACGGCAACCCTAACCAAAATCTTAAACGGAACAGTAGCCCTTAGACATAGCCGTAACTGAAAAACCTAACCGTAATACTGAAACTTATTCGTACGCTCAAACCCTGACCGTAACCCGAAAACCTAAGCCTTAAGGCATAACCCTAACCGGAAAATCGGAAACCATTAACCGGTACCCTAATCCTAACTTCAAACGTAGAACGGAAGCCAAATGGGTCAGATTTGATTATGGAGCCCAACAAAATAGCCCCAGTAAGCGACCCCTCCCCGGCCACCTGTAATAGGGGACCTGGCTACCAACTGCGATCTGGCCTTGGAAACTTCTTTACGACCGAATTATTTTCCTCCTTCGAGCGTAAAATGAGAAGAAGAGGTTATTATCTACCGGATAAGCAAAAGAACGAATGTTTTAATGCATGTCTTCCATGAAATATAATTGGGTTTTAAGGGGCAGCAAAAATCAATGAGAAAAATTCATGCTAATTAAGCAGTCATTTTTTACAGAGTGTAGTTTTTGCATGCAGCCGGACGGAAGTTCATTCGAAAGCCGGCATCCTGAAGTAACTGAAGTATTATCGAATTATGTTGCAGGCGGACTAGTTTTACAATCATACTTAATTAATCTTTCCGAGACAAAAACTCATATCGAAATTTCGGTTGACATTTCATGAGTTAGCCCACCTACTGTACGTATAGTTGCTGGGAAGTACGAAACGTGATCGCTGGTTGAAGGTTCTAACACTAACCCAAATCCTAAACTCAACTCTGCCCCTGACTTCTACCCGAGTTTAGCCTAAAGCTATTTATGTTTTGGGGGGGGCGGTTCGTGGTTCCTATTCCCGCGTGCTACCTGTCAGGCTAATGAGCACCATGTTTCAGCGATCGCGGCTGTTTCTTCTCAAATGCTTAAGTACTTCAAACTCATTTCTAGGGCTACGTGTGTTCGTATGTGCTTAACAGAGCCGATATTGAAGCACTATTTCCCCGGAATGAATTAAAAGCAGGCATTGACAGTAGAATTTATTGGAACCAATTGATTTCGCAACGGCACTTGTGGATGCAAGCACATTGGGCAAACTCAAAGGCAGTTGGCAGCCAGGCCAGTTGAGTACCTGCCTAAATGGCTTCTAAAGCAGGAAAATAAAATTCCACGGTCTTCTATTACAAAGCACCTTGTTGATAACGGTCATTCAGTTGACCCCAAAACATCTTTTCGAGTATTAGTTCGAGCACGAACAACTCAGTTACTGCGCTATTTGGAGGCAGCCTACATACGGCAGGAGAAACCCGACCTATGCAAACAGTTAGACCATGTGGTCGACCTCAGCTTGCCCTGGTATATCTGCGCCCTTTTGATTTGCGAAACCCCTCGGCATGTTAATTTCCCCGTTTTCTCTCCCATGTTGTGTTTTTTAAGTTACCATTTCGTTGATTAGTTTACGTGAAGTATACGATGACCTTGCTGTTTTATATTGATTTCCTCTGTGGAAGTTCAAGCATCTGTACCTTTCTGTCTTGCTATCTGGGATATGCAACAACAGGCTGCAGTTGATAAGCCGTCGCGAAGTCTATTGGTTCCAATAAATTCTGCAGTCTAGAGCCGATATTGCTTTGTTGGATGTGCCGACAAACCGGTATCGCTGTCACCGATGAACGGCGTCCCAACAGAGCTGAACTTGCGTGCAGTGCGCCTCTGCGTTTGCGCGCGCCGCACTCGCGTGAGCTCGTGTGCTGATGTCCTCGCTTGCTCGGTAGACACCTGTCCATTAATCAGGTCGCTGACGGAGATCGAACGAAACATCGCAGGTGTACGAAGCAGATCGATTGAACAGCGGGCAGTTTTGACCGCCAGGCCCGTACGACGATTCCAAATTAATTACTACATTAGCCGAACTTGGACAGGACAAAACGTGTTCAATATATGCTCACCAATTAAAGTAGTCATTTGATGTTTGGTGTTTCCTCGTACAAGGTTGGGTCGTCTGCTTAATTTCGGTAACTATATGTCAGTGCATTAAAACTTTTCCGTCCGAAAACGAATTTACCAATCATCTGCACCTATTTTGCCATTCCTCTATGCATATATAAGCTCCCCCCATATAACCCCTATCACCACCGTTTCCCGTAAGACAGGCACCTTTGGCTGGTCGTGTGTGTTTGGAGTCCTTCACCCGATCGCTGCCAATTGGTCATTTGATGATGGGCCTCTTCACGAATGCCTATGTTTTCCTCGCAAATGAAACACTACACGTTACCATTAGTTGTAAGTCATATTTGGCCTTTCCGTTAAGGTCTGTTTCCACCCAAATGACAGCATTTCATGAATGCAAAGTTTCGTCAGCCCTTATAAACAGGCCGATTGAATGCACCGCTCAAAATACGTATCAACTTTCTCGCATTATCAGAATCGAAAAAGATCTATATAACCTTACTTCTAATTATCAAAAATCGTCGCATTCATTTTTATAGGCGTCCATATATGTTATCACAAGAATTCAAAACACAACTATATGGTCGAATGATGCTACTTCGACCGTCGCAAATGACGAAGCACTCTGAGCGCCCAACGGAGAGGAAGCGGCATCGGTGACTTATGCGTGAGGTAGTATATTCTGAGGCAGACTTTCGCAGCACATACCTCACTCTCTCGTCTCCACTCGCCTTGCTCCGATGTCAAGACAGTATCTAGACAACCAAAGATGGACACGGAGACAGTAGCTAGCAAAGTCATGCCACAATCAACTTTGTCACTACTCCAACGCATCCGATTCCATTTCTGTGCGTCTCGTCCCTCACGTAAATAAGAGTGTCATAAAGGTGGTGATGGTGGTGATGGCGGTGGTTAAGTTATAATCCTCACCGTAACCGCTGCGGTCCAAAGACCGATCCATTCTGTCAGCTGGCAACCTCCCAGACCAAATCTTCTGCGGCAAGTGGATGGTTAAAACGCGGGTCAGCTAGAGAGTAAGTCGGAAAGGGTCACTAGAAGGCTTTACTTCCTTTTATCGTCCCCATTATTGTGCAGAAGCAGGGCCATTGAACAGGAGGTTGGCGTAACTGTGGAACAAGCCCGAAACAGGTCTACAGGGGTATCAACATGGCGTCAGCTGCACTATAAACGAAACAGGCGTTATGTAGACAGCGTCACTATCGCATAATATTTGCCTCGCGTTAAATTCGACATCAAGAGGCAACGCATTTTTCATACCGAAGGCTCTATCTCTCACAGGGGTTAGTTTACCGAGTTCAAAGGTCGAATCAATATCTATGGTCTGAGTCACGTGCAAATAGTCATGTGGTTAGGGGAAGCCTGGCCGGTAGGAAGAGCGTACAGTTAGCACTCTGGTGAACCTGTGATGCGCATGTGTTCCAGGCTCTGCTTCTAAGATTCTAATAAGAACCCCCCGGGACTAACGCCACATAATCTGCCGACGACTTCGGAAAGAGGGAAGCAGGGGGAAGATAATGTCTAGACGAGACTTCAGATCCAAAAGAGTAGTCTCCGCCCCCAAACAGGCGAAAATGTCCGCTTGTGCGCCCGTCGCTAGAGCGACCAAGGCATCGTTGAGAAAGACAGCCGTCGCTACTGCAGAAGCCGCAGCCAGACTGGCTGCCTACCTAGACGAAAACGGACGTGGACCGTCCATTAACACCCAATCGCGCATCACCTTCAAGTCACGTGATTCAGCTGAACAGGCACCACCGCCGCCTGTCCGCTCAGCGTCAGGAGCCGCCTCCTGGGGCTCCTTTTCGGCGACTCCTTTCGCCTGGGATCGGTCCATGGCTTCATTCGGGGGACTGGACGAATCGCAGCAGGCAAGACGACGGACCACAAGATCAACAACTTCTGGTGGTGCAGCCGCCACGCATCCCATAACCTCAGAGCTGCTGGAACTCAGTCGAAGCATCATGCAGCTGGCTGACACAGCGCGCAGGGAAAATAGTCAGCTCGGATCCGTGGTGCGGGAGTCTCTGGCTATGCAGCGTCTTGCACCCGGCTCTCTGGGAGGCCAGATGGATTATAGGACGTCGACAACAAGTCAAGCGGAGGCGACGGGTCCTCCACAGGAGAACAAGGAGGTATCAGAGCTGGTGGAGAGTTTCGCCGCCCTCGTAGATGAAATTCACTCTAAGAATGAGAGGATGAAGTCAATGCTTTTGGGTGCCCCCGAAGCCGGAGGCAGCGGAAATCCAAAGGATGCACAGAAGTCAGTCATGGCCGAACAGTGCTCCGAGCTTCTTGACGGACTCCATGACCTGAATGACGATATGAACAGTAAAAATGATCAGATAATTGCTCTCTTGAAGTCTGGTAGGCCGTCGAGTGTTATGGGAAGCCCTTTTTCACCGCCGCCAACTCCACCACCAGCAATACAGGGCGAATTTGGGGAGGTTTTGCGAAGCATCGGTAATTTAACAGGCGAGGTCAGGGCTAACAGTGAACGCATGCGATCTTTATATCAGTCTAGTCCGGCAACACTTGGCTCCCTTGGAATCTCCCAGCGAGACGTTGCCGGTGAAGCAGTTGGCGAGAGCGCTGACTCTACAGAAATCAGGCGGACACTTAATCGCCTGGCTGAGGAGTTTCGCACCAAAAATAACGAAATCCTGGGCATGCTTCAGGGCGGCAGCCTTGCCACAACCGCTTCCTCCTCAATTTTCTCCAAGGATCTAGAGATCCTGCAAGAAAGCATAGCTCATCTAAGTAGGGCGGTTGAGATGGAACAGAGGCAAATTAGCAGCATCCTGGGCATCCCATCAGCGCCGACTGCTTCCATAACCCTCAAACCTGAAGAGGAGGAGGCCGCCGAGGCCGCACTGGCAGACTCGCCAATCATGAAGCTGCTTGCGGATGTCACGCAATACGTGCAGGCTGTGGCAAAAAGTCTTCAGGAGAGCTCTATAGACCCCCTGAAAACCATTGGAGCCGACGAGAGTGGCGTCTCAAACAAGCAAGTCTTCGAGGCACTCGCGGAAGTCGATAAGAACATGAAAAACCTCTCCCGACGGATCTCTGATCTTGACAAAATGCGATGCCGAGAGTACTGCAAGGCTCAGGGCCTGGGCCTTCAGACCTGTACAGCCGAAAGTTCAATCTTCAAGGTGTTGGAGGATATGACGCGCGGACTGCAGGATGTCTCCTCTGGAGTGGCAGACATCGTTCAGAAGCAAAAGGAGGAGTTGGAGAGACCGGAGCCGCCAGTCTACATTGTCTCCCTGCCGGAACCATCTGTCGTCAAGACGTTGGATGAGATTCGTAACAGCGTGGCCTTCTTCGGTGGACACATGAAAGTGCCAGTTCCGGGCATCGTTGATGTCAACGTCGACTCAGCTGATCAGGTCACCTCTGACGAACTCTCGCCTCTGGATAAGTTGAGACAAAGTGCTGTTGCCGGAGGCACCTACAGCAGGGCTGCGGGTGCTGCCGACGAGGGTGTAATGGACATTCTTAAGGAGATCAGATCGGCTATATCCATCATGAGCAGAGAACTTCGCCTGCAAAGCAAGATCTGACTACTGAATGCGGCACTACAACTGGAGCCTCCACTAAAAATGGCGTAGCAATTTACTTTGTTCCGTCGCTGCTTCTTTTTCTCACTTTGGAATTTATTTTACCTCTCCTCTGTCAAGCAGTCCTTTCGTTTCACCATCTTACTAGAACTGTGATTGTTATTTCTGGTCTTTAATTCTACAAGATGTCCGCCTGTATACTCGTGGCGGATAGCACAAGCGCCGATTTAGGCGATTCCGTAGTCCACAACGTCGCGCATCCCTGGAGACCACGTCCTGCGCTCGTGGGGTTATTGTTCGCCAATCAGGTTACAGGACATGCTTGGTGAGCGTCACATTGTCATAATCGGTATTTCTATCACAACCGACAGGACAACCAGCTCATGGCCCAATGATAGGGTATTGTACTCGATGACCGAAGATCCCAGGTAAGAATCTCAAGTGGGATTGGGCATGACTGGCTAATGGCGACTAATAAGCCAGAATGGACCATTCCTGTCCGCCTTGTGAATGTCAGTATCACATTGTCAGCATATACTACTAGTTGCCATGCGAATGCCTGCGAAGGCTCTAGGTTTAGCCCCAAGGCACGACGGACGAGCACGTTCCGTGACCTGATCGGTGAGCGCCACAGTAACCATAACAACTACCTCTCTGTCAATACGAACAGGGGACCGGAGAGATGGCTTCGAAGACGAGCACCTCTTCGAATCGGTGGCGTAAGCGACCGAACTATTTTAGGCGTCGGTTCTATGTTCAGTCAGCATCAGTCAGTAGATTTGGAGTAAATTACAGAGGCCCTGAAAACTCTATTTAGACGGTACAGGTGTAAGGGAATATAGGTAAATTGCAAAAATCTTGCAAACAGTTTTAGTGTGTAGAATGCATTAGTCTAATAGTGGAACATAAATGCTAAAAAGGTATGGTATTAGCGAAATAATCGCGAAAAAAATTGTTCACTGCATTCGCACTGTGAAAATTTTCATATGCGTCAAGTTTAATTCACAAAAAGGATCTGTTGAAATCGTGTTAGTAGTATTTTTATAATCCTTTCAGTAATCCGCCAGAGAGAGCTTCGGCAGTTCAGGTTGCCTTTCGGCAGATGGTTATGCAGTAGCCGCTTGAACACACTCGCGGTAGGGGAATTAACAACATACGTCGGTGGAGAATTCCAGTGGCGAATCACCCTTTGGAAGAAAAAGGAGGAACGTTGATTTGTGTGGCACAGTTCCTTTTTTAAGCTGGTAATCGTCTCGTCTGAGATTAGACTTGGGTGCCATTTCAAAAAACATCATCACAGATTTCTCCAGCTGTCAGAGCATGTAGGTTTAGTGTGAAATTTTACGCGAAAGGACAGTAGAAGTCGCCAATGGTACTGTCATGAAAATTGACAAGGCCACGACTGCTGTTTCGTACCTGCTGATTTCTTTGAGTTAGCGACCACAACGAACCTCCGAGGTTATCCACTTAAGCTACGCGTAACTGGCGCCAAGCTGGACATTCGAAGTTCTTCTTTTCAAACAGAGTGATCGAGGCAGAATAGTATTACCGACAAAGACAAGGGAGACTGGGAATAAAAACCGACAAGGCAACGGGCTCGTGGCCCGGTGAGTAGAGGCGTTGACTTCTAAACCAACAGGTCGCGAGTTCGAGGCTCGGATGGTCCACACTTCGGGCTTGGGTATGGCTGGCTGACGACGGCTAATAAGCCAGAAATGGCCATTCCAGTCTCCCTTGTCTTTGTCGGTAATACTATTCTGCCTATATATCATGCGCCGCTGTGCGGCTGCTGGTTGGGCTCGAGAGAGAGTCCATAAGGCACAACAGAACGAGTGAGTTCCGTATGAACGATCGGTGAGCGCCCCCTAACAGAGTGATCGAGACCTGGAATGCTCTGTCTACAGATGTCGTCATGTCCACCTCCGTCGAGGCTTTTAAGCACAAGTTGGACCAGTGTACCACCAAACGTCATAAGGCCACCTGGCCGACAACGTCTAGCATTTCGTTCGAACAGTTTATCAATGTTGTTATATTACTGCCTGTATTTCAGTAATGCGTGTTTTTTTATTATTGTCCCATGTCTGTTGAATGTGTGTTGGCATCTAATTCGTCTCCCTCAGAAACTGTGATAGCACCAACTATCCATAGACAGACAACTGTACGGAACACTTAGTAACGTTAATGTTTTTAACTCTTGACATAATTCGTTCATCTGTCTGGCATCGAAAACTTTGCCAATCTGAAGAAACTCTGTAGCTGTTTGATGTTTTCATTTTCAACTTTTTGATATAGTTCGCTTCCTTGTAACAAATAGGGAGTTCAAAGGTTCAACACCTATATTTCCCTCAAATAAACAGAGCGGAACTGAACTGAACTTGGCCTCAAAGCACGGTTTTTCAAAATGACACGCGGAATTGGCTATTCAGTACTTCCGGTTTGAAGGTAGTAGAGTACACTTCTATGGAGTTTGGAGCGTCCTGCCTTGGCAGGCCACGACCGCACGATCACACCGATTGTCTTCTCCACCCCGGTTGTGAGTTAGGCTCGCTATCAGTTCCTCTTTGACCTCGCTGGTGGACGGCGGGATTCTTCACTGACCGGTCAGTTTGTGAAGAAACCTGAGCGTGTCAGCAACCGTCCGGCACACCTGATAGCGTTCACAACCTGTCGTCTGTGTGCTCTGACTATACAAACTGGTACCCTGTCAACCGTTTCTCACTGACTTCAAAGTACAGTCAGGTATTGTTACTGTCGGAAGGAAAATAGCATTGCGCTTGGCAGAAGTTTAGCTGCACAGTGGGGAGCGAGAACAGACTCAGGGGTAGGTTTGCGGTAGGTTGCGAAGGCGTGCACTGTATGCTTCGAAACCAATGTGACAACCGAATTTATTCTATAAGCCTTCAAAACTGATTTGTCGAGAGCAGTGCCTAACGTTATTCACTAGACGGCAGCACGCTGATCTTTTAATGAGCAGGAAGGAGTGCCGACAAGGACAGGAGAGACTGTGATTATTGTTTCCGAGTTATTAGCCGTCGTCAGCCAACCTTACCCAATCCGGTTTTGGATTCCAACGCGAAATCTTTAATAACCAAACGTTAAGTATAACGCCCTAACATCGAGCAGCGGCCCAGCTGTGTTGTCGATTCGGCATGCTGTCAGACAGTTCTTTCAGTCTATTTGCAATCTCATGAAATGTTAACCGGAATTCTAAAATATGCTTTCGATCCGAGAACAGAGTTTACGTAGGGTCGTAATGTTAGTTGCCATGCAGGATGGTTCTAAGACATTTCGGCCACACCAGCTTTTAAATCAGGTTCTTTTCTGCCGTCTTCAAAACACTACACTATAAAAAGTTACTAGACAAGAAGTATGATTTTTTTCCATTGATTTTAGATGCTTTTATTAGTTCGATTGTATTTTATGGGAAACGTGCACAAAAACATTCTCCGTTGTGCTCATTTGGTAGCAAATTACGTCTTCTCGAAATTTTTTTACTTGAAGAAAGAGTATCTTTTGGTTTTTAGGAAAATGTCCCATTTCAGAAAATTTTGGCCCTACTTGTCGTTACACTTTCATTCAGGGTTTTATAATTACATGCTGCATACGTTCCGTCAAAGGAATATAATATATTTCTCTGTGCTGTTAGAAAAAGATCAAATAACGAAACTTGGAGTTCCAGGTGTATGCATAAGTGAAGAAGATTCGAGCACTGGAACACTTTGTTTACTGTCCTGAGCTTTCAAACTCGAACAGGAGTCCTTTGTTCTGTTGCTGCCACCACCTCTGATGACGGACTCCTGTACGAATCTGAAAGTTCAGGATAATAAACAAAGTGTTCGGTGCTCGAATCTTCTTCTTCTTCGTTCATAAGATTCTAGAGTGAATGTTGACCAGGTTGTATACTTTACAAGTAGCATTAATAAACGTCCTTATGCGGTGCTGTATGAATGGGCATTTCACGCCCCTTAAAGATCTCAAGATTTGAAAATTTTTAATACCGAAAGACACACTTCCTTTGAGCATTAAATTTGAAGAGGGCGTTATTTGCTACCGAATGATTACAAGAGAGGATATTTCCGTGCATTTATAATGACGTCAAAAATCAGTGGAAATGTTTCATGCTACTTATGTAGTCGCTTTTTATAGAGCGTAGTTGTTTGCAGATTGCCTTCCAAAGCCGGCATCCTGGTGCGACTGAAATTTCTTAGAAGCATGCTCCACGATAACTAATACCATGACCTTACTTAAGTGGTGTTCTCGGAGCGAAAGCCTATTTTAGAATTTCGGTTAGCATTTCATGTGATGGCATATTTACTGTAGATGTGTGTTTTTCCAGAAATACTGAATGCTTGTATACATCCGTAATATATGGGATGATTTCATGGTAAATT